TGCCTTGAAGGTGGAAAAGCGCTATAGAAAAATGTGACCATTTACCACTGAGCCACTGCTCTGTTGCCTCTTAATTGTGTGTCCTCATTTTCCCTTTTTTGCCAGGACCATACCAGGCTCCACCTGCGCCATTTAGCACCTATTACACGCTCCGAAACACAGGGAACTACTCGGCGATAAAAAAAAAAAACGACGGGGTGGGAACGATTTCAATGTAACCCCACCAGGAAATGATGTGGTTAGAGAGGGCAGATTAGGAAATAGTGTGTGATAGTGATCGTGATTTCCGTGGTGCTTTAAATTTTACTGGGGCAAATTAACGATCCATTTTATGTTTGATTCGCATTTGATTCAACTGCCAGGCTCAGACACAGCCATCCAGTCAGATTAGTTTTGTCAGTGACATATGTAAAAGGAAGGAGCTCATTGTTCACCCATCAATTTGAACAAAATGTATGTCTGTCACCTGATATTAACAGACTTAACATTTTGCTCAGTGATTGTGCAGAAATCTGTGGTGTAATATGCATGACTCCATGGACTTAGAAAGTTAAAAAAATAAAAAATAATAAAATTTTTTTTAGAACATTCTCCAGATGGATAGATTTTATGCCGTACTATGGAATATTATAGTCAGGCCAAGTAAGACTCAGATTTGTGGAAATATAAACCTGCTCACAGTAAAGACATGCCCTTTTAAGTGCAACAACCAAATTGAAAAAGGGAAAGAAAAAAAAACATGCTTTTATTTTAATCAGCCATAGCAGGCGTATTTGTTTTGATACGGATGGACCAATGTGTCTCCCTGATTGGCTAATCTATCTGTCAGTCACGCCTATATGACTCACATCTTTGTAAAGTATTGGAGAAGTATATTGTGGATCCCATGTAAAGTTAATATAATACAGGTAAAGTCTGTATCTGGCGAGGTCCCATTCACTGTGTCCGTATGTAAAGGGCTGCACTACATCACTACATCACAACATAGTGTAGTTTGAACTCACAGTGGGCCGTGCCCCAGGATCACTGTAGATGAGGTCCCTGGTGCAGAAGCTGTATTTAACAGTGTAACAGTGAGTGCAGTAGCTGTGTGTCAGTGCATACATGAATAAGACTGAGGGCAGGTTTACGCTGTAGGGCAATGAAGCAAAAGACCATAAACAAGCTCGCTCCAATGAGAAGTAGGAGTAGTACTATTAAGTGGTAATAAAAAGCTGCAGTAGTATTAGTAGTTATCTCATGTCCTCATTACAGAAGCAGCAGTAAGTAGTTGACAGCAGTGTTGTTTTTATTTGGTGACTAATTATCTTGAGTTATGCTTAGTTGGTTAATATAGATAAGCTTTTTAGAGTTGTAATTCAGAAGATAAAGCATAATGCATTTAAAATACTGCTTTCAATCTTTACCATTCTTTCATTTTGTTTTTGACACATTCATTTGCTCTTCTTGCCAATTATTTTTTCCTGTCAAACATGAGTGAACTATCAGAAAGAAATCATGTAACTGTTGACATGATGTTTTAATAATATCATAACTACAGAAATCCTGTTATAAACTGATGTACTTTTATAAACTTCCTGTTATAAACTGGTGTACTTTCAAACATAGCCAAAAGTTGAAGTGAAGGGAAAAGTTTAACTCCACAGCCTTATGTAAATGTCTCCACATACTTTGCACTTTGAATATTCCAAAACAACCTTGAGATGATCACAGCTGCTTGAGGTGAAGTGTGAATTATATAAACAGCTGTTTCATTTTGGCTTTCGACTTTGGGAGAAGGTGGAACCCATCAATTTGACAGAGAAACTGTATTTAAACAGTGCTGAAGTAAAGTTATGACGCAGGCAAATTCATGACTCACAGAATAGATGCTGTAAAGTAATGACCCAAAACAGGCCATTTGCATAAAGACTTAACAAGGATAGTTTTAGAAATATGGAAGATAAACAGTATTTTTTTTCCCAGGATTTAAAAATGGCTTCTGTACTAAACTGTGGTATTTTGCTGGATCTGGAAGTGGGATAGCACAGATAACCTTCCTAATATGAGATCTCTCCTTTTAAAACTTCAGCAGAGGGCGAAAGATCTCTGTTTGTTTAAAGGCGGTCTACATGATTTTTACTGTCTTACAAACTTTTTAAACGATTTCTAGTCCAAAGTTATTCCTCACTTACCTTATTCATTTTGAACATCCAAATTATTCACTGCAATGTTGAGTTTATAAACACTCTGTACTATTTTTAGAGGCCAGAGCGGAGTTTTGTGACAGTAAAGTTAAAAACGATTATCAGACAATACAATGCTCCATAATTAGAAGCATTACACAGAGGGCATGTTTTGAACTCAAGAACTGCCAATACAGTATATCTCTACTGGGGCAAGGCAACTTTTGCTCAAATACATGGATAAAAAATGGGTAAAGACCTGATAACATAAAGATAATATAACTTTATCTTTTTGCAGCACTGTTTTGTTATAAACTGTACAGTGTACTCTTGACAGTCTGCCCTCCTCTACTTGAGTCTTGTAGTCCATTCTTTGAAAAATAAAAGAAGAGGAAAAGAAAAAAAAAGAAAACATTTGAATGGGCCTCAGTATAAAGTGGTATAATAGTGGTTTGAGTGAGTCCTGATTTATGGTGCAGACTCTGTCCTCGGGCTCTTCTGAGTGAACCCAAACACAGGTCTGATGTTCAGCCAAATGTCCTGCTGCTGTGATGGGATTAAGAGCAGAGACTGTTTACGAGGCATAAGGACAAGAGGACAAGAGACAGGAGGAGAGGCGAATACAGCTATAATGGTTTTGTCAATAACATTACAACATTACAGTGGAGTCTGCACCATACTGGATGGATGATGAAATGACTTTTGCACAGATTAGTTGGCTAATATTCCATTGACCAATGACTGTTTCACTGTTCTGGTTTTGTAATAAATGCTTTTGCCAAACTGTGAGGCGACTGCTGTTGTGATTTTTGAACTACACAAAACTTAATTAAACTGAAAATTTAAATAGAGCTTTGCATTTTAAAATACATTTGGGCTTTTGTATTATGTAATTTGCTGTTGCATAATTGTCCGCGCCACACTTAAAGCAGACCTATTATGCAAAATCTCATTCAGCCTCTTGAAGTCGTATTTGGAGTGATTCGTCCATCTTTAATCGTTTATCTTCAAGACTCCATTTTGCGAATCAACCCCCATTTTTACTGCCACCAACATATGCCCCTTGCGCTCTACTTACCTCATACTCCAATTTTATTTTCTTACTCAGCTGCAGACTCTTTGTTGTGATGACAGATTGTTGTGATGGTGACGTCAGCTCCCATTGGGCATCACAGTTTTCTAGCATGAATGTCAGTGTGCTTGTTTCTTTTATTAAGTCATTTTAGATCAGTATTACGATTTTAAATGTACACACTGTAACATAATGATCCACGGGTGTCGTAGATTATGACTGTATAGCAAACACAAGCACAATGTGTGTTCTTTAAGATTGGGATAGTTTTGATATTTGAGCAGTTGTGTTGTTCCTTTGGTGTTTGCGTTTGTGTACGTTACAGCGTGGCGGCAGGTGGTGTATTTGTCTCATAACTGGCAGTTGGCAGGTTTCAGATTCAGTTTTCCCTCTTGATTACATTGTACTCTCTTATGTAATACCCAAAAGTTAAATGCACAGATGTTGAACCTGATTGTTTCTATGGATGGAGCTCGACAATCACTGCCCAAACCCAATTCCGAAACTAAGAAACTAGATTTCTTATAAATATTTCCCATTGACTTTCTGGAAAAAATTAAGGGCCTGTTTACACGAGAATGCTTGCAGGTAAAAACGACAAAATATTTTATCGGAAGTGTCTTTTGTTTAGACAGTGATGGTGTTTTGGGGGCTTAAAAATGCAAATATCTGAAACCAAAGTTGAATATGCTCTGCCGTAGTGTTTCCGTCTACACTGACCAAGACGCAAAACGCTGGTCAGATCTGCTCACGTCGCGTACGTGTTTACATCACATACATCACCGCCTAGCATCACCACCTAGCTGCCTGGCATGCTTTTACGTCACCGTATGCATGCAGATTTCCTCACGAAAACGCTCGACTAAATGCAGAATAAAAAGTGAGACGCAATGCCACTTTTGCGTCTTCTGTTCAGACAGTCATCATATAAACGTATCCTAAATAAATAAAAGTTTGAAAGCTTACTCATGCCTAAGATATGTCTAGTTAGTAACTAATGACAACAAGACCTATAATTTAGTTTAAAATCTGTTTCTGAAACTTTATAAACCACAATGTTAGTAAAGCATTTCACCAAATCTTACCTTTTAAATGTGCTTTTTGGACTTTTCGGTACCGTGTAACTGATTAACTTCGGCGATGCCTTTGAACTAGAAAATCTACTTCCAGAACCGGAGCAGGCGGCCACTGTTGAGCTCCATTAGAAAATAAACATCTACAACTGTATTAAATTACCTGCTCCCAGCTCCAGGAAATGTTATGGGCCATTAGAATGTCGTGATTTCATCTGAAATTCTGCAATCGGCCAAATGGCTCTAGCTAAGTTTTAACTGATATCAGAACTACCATGGTCCGTTGTTTTGTTTCAGTGCAGCCTCAATGAAGAACATGTTTTTGTATTGTATTTGTATCTTAACTCAATACACAATATGACTTCTACTGTGTATGCTTGTTCTGAATTTCAATGTATCCACTCTCAGGTTTCTGTAGTGTGGACATACATTTCATCTTTCTTTTTCTAGCTCTTGTGCACATTTAGAAACTTTCATCATTGCCACACTGTATTCAAACATTGTCTCCCTGCTACTTTTATTTACCCTAACTTCAGCTCGAAGCTAATTGCTAATTAACTTTATCAAGGTCCCAGAGCGCGGAGAGACCCAGAGGAGATGGGGCAACCTTTAGCTACCGCTGTCTGGGGTTATTCCAGGGCAAAGTCAATGCAGATGATGATGTCGTGTTTTTGTCTTTCTCCCAAACAGGAAGTGACGCCATGGCGACAGAGATGCAGGAAGTTGCCATCACAGAGGACAAGCCTTTACTCACGGGACAGGCTGACAGCACCAAGGTTAGAAAACACAATCTTGACAGCATAAGTGGTCTGAGTCCAAGCTTCACACACAAAATATAAAACGAGGTGTACTATGATGAATGCGGTTACATGTACTCGAGTATCCTGGTTATGACAGGGTTCTGGAGATGACATTTACTTGCGCTCAGAGAAACCAGGAGATGTATGCACGAGGAACAAGAGAACACTGGATTTTTAGAGTAGTAACTATGGGAACAATGACACACATATGGCTAGGAGCTAAACATGTCAGAAACTTACTTAAACTAAACTAAATTAAAGGTGCTTGTTTCTATGGATATGGATATGCTTTGCCTAGAATGTTCCACAGTATGACATTAAACGGCTCTACCTTACATTTATTCAATTACAGGTGATTTTATAGCTCAAAAATACCTAGAAAAACAAAGCGTTCTTGATGTGAGCGGGGTTGACTCTCCACAGATCTAACCTGTAACTTGGTCTTGGTAGAAAGGTTTAATGCCATACTGTGAAACATTCGAGACAAAGCAATAACATCTCCATGAACAAAAGCGTTTGATGTGCTCTCCATTGGAAAAGTTACACAATGAACCTTTAAATAGCTTTAGTCTGCATAAATAATTCAGTCCCGTCACTATTTCTGTAGCTACCTGATGGAAACGAGGCTGCTAATCTGCATTTTTGGCACCTCTAATCACACGCAAACACATGTTATAGCTTACATGGGTGGCTATGTGTCGGGTTTGAATCACGGACCTTCGTGTTGGTGGACAAGTGCTCTAAACTTTCTTAAATAATCAAATTTAAAGATGCATTATCAAACTTTTCTGGTAGAGTCTTTTGCATAAACTGTATATATAAATGGAAATGATTCACTGCTGCGTTCCCAGTAGGAAGTGAACATGGGGACGCTTCTGGCTCCAATTGACTTTGACATTAGAATATTGTCACTCCTCTCTCTGTAATTGCTGCAGTGAGCCTCGTCATTTTGGTCTTAAAATGTTCGCATTATCCCGCTCTTCTTGAATCTGAACATGATTTCATTTTGCCATTTTGCCCTTTAATAAATTCCCATTCTTTTTATGGAACTTGGCTCCAAATTCACCCCTGTAATCGCAAGCATCTTGAGTTTCAACTGACTGGGGCCGAGCGCTATGGCTGACGTCACACTCCATTCTTTATACAGTCTATGGTCTGATTCATTATCTAATTGTTAATGGAGATGTTATTGTTCCATTGTCATTCATCTTCGTTGGCACACTCTCTTATCCATTTATCCATTTTATTTGAGTGTCTTCACTGGTCAAACTTTCCACAGATCAAACCTTTAACTCCGCCAAGTGGAGTCATCCACTATTTTCAGTGGAGTTTAATGCCATGCTGTGGAACATTCCAGAAAAAAGCAGCTACATCATAAGCTGGTGGTAAACCCTCCACCATTAAAGGCCCCATATTAAGCTGTTTTCTGATCTGTTATAAGGTTGTTTCCTCCTCATAAACATACCCGGAGTTTCATTCACACATGTTTGTCTCTCAAACAGAAAACACATGTGGTAATACAAGTGCTCCATTGTGTTTTTAATCCCCATACACCTTCATTAGAATCATTCGAATACTTTCAGCCCTGGAAATGCCAATCTCTACTAAACAAAAGATAACAGAGCATTTTCAGCTTTAGAGAAGTAGACAGACTGATAATAAAGGTTTGCTGATACATTTGTGAGTGAAACAAAACACTCCAGGTAGATGAGGTAACAACATTATCATGGCTTAAAGCTCACAAGAGACAATTTTGCACAATATGGGACTGTATAAGTGTATATTAGTGCTGATGGTTCTTGAAATTGGCCATATGTAAGGTTTATTTATTATTATACTAAATGTTATGTGTTGTGTCTTTAACCATTGGCGCAGTAATATTTGAGAACAACCAGACTGTGCAGAGCCAGTGTGTAGTTAATGTTGACATATAAAGACTTATGTAACTGTAGCTGGAGGTTATTCCAGGTTCCTTAAATATGACTTCATTTAGTTTGGAGCTCAGACTGAATCATAGACAGGAAAATCTCTGTGCACTCTCCTTCTCTGCCCTGTGAGTGTGCACGTGAAGACAGGAAAGTGCATGTGAGGAAAGGGGCGTGCATGTGAGGACTCAAGGTTAATTGAAAATCGTGATTATTCGGGCTACAAGATAATCCCAAAAACAAGAGTGTAATAATTGGGACCATTTTAGAAGAACTTCCATTAAATTATCTGTCTGTTTATGTGACTCCCACTTTACTTTATGATTCAGAAGGTTGAATTTCAGAAACCAGGTCACATACAACGCAGCAGTCCCCAACCACCAGCCCAGGATTTTTACTTTTTCTTTAATAGGCTATCACCATAACTATGTGTATTACTCTGAAAATATAGTACAAAAATGTACTAAATGGTAAACAGCAAGTATGAGTATTAAAGGTCCATTGTGTAACTTTTACAGTACATGTCAGATACTTTCCCCATGGAGATGTTATTGCATTGTCTAGAACAGACATGACAAACTCAGGCCTAGGGACCAAATTTATAGAGACATTATGTATTGAAAATGTTGTTGTTATTTTATATTATGCTTGTTTTGGATTCAACGTTTAAGCAAAACTATGACCAAACATAACATTTATTTTAATAAGAAAAGTATCTTGAAAGAAGAGAAAACATGCAGATGTTGTTGAAAATTTTCAAATTTAGTTTGGCCCACAGCTTAGTCCCAGTTTTTAATTTTCAGTTTGATGCCCCTGGTCCAGAGTGTTTCACAGTTTGGTATTAAACCTTTCTATCTTTATGGAGACCAGACCAGACCAAGTTACATGTCAGATCTGTGGAGAGGTAACCCCGCTCACAGGCAGAATGTTGTTTTTCTAGGTATTTTTATAACACCACCTGTAGTTTAACAAATGTAAAGTAGAGCTGTGTAATGTCATAATATGGAACATTCCAGGCAGAGCAATGACATATTTATAGAAACAAGAAGGTGAAAGACCCCCAGCCAAAAAGTTACGTAGTGTATCTTTTCAGACATTTTTTTTTTCAAACTATGGTTAACAGTTCAATGCATTTTACGCTGGCCCTGCCCCCCACCCTCCCTGAACAAAATTATCTTTATTACTCATCCTTAAGACAGGAGCGTGAACGAGAAGACAGAAGTGTCCATGTGGGACACTTGACCCTCGGCCTTCTCATGTTACAAAGCTGCTCAACACTGACACCTGGTGGACTTAACGGACAAGAGCAACAAAACCAAAATGAACTAAACTGATCCATGAGGGACATTATTTAGACACAGTATTGCAGCGATCTTTTAAATCTTTTCACTCAGCTTTCAGTCTTCTGCCAGACCAAAAGACAGCACTTCCTTTTTTCCTTTTCTTTCACTCTCTCTGCTCCTTCCCATCTCTTTCTCCTGCTCTCCTCTCTTTTCCTTAACCCCTTTTTTTTTCTCTTCTCTCTCTTCTCTATGTCTTCCAACCCCTCTCTCCATCTCTCTTCTCTCTCACCTCTCCTCCTTCTTGTGCCACTCCCCACCCTCCTCTCCATCCTCTTTCTCCAAACAGATCCTTTTCTCCTAGTTCTTTCTCTCACTTTCTCACTCCTACTTTTACTGAACTCAAGAATCAAGCACAACAGCTTCTGTTACTCTCTTCTCTCTCTCTCCTTCCTCTCATCCATACAGTCTGCATGTGCTGTAATTACCAGGTTTTTAAAAAAAATATATTTTCAGCTCTCCCTCTCGTTCCTTTCATCCTTTTTGTCAACCCCATTTCTCCTTCTCTCCATCTCTCTCACACACACTCACTCACTTTGTGCTTTACCTTCTCTCTTTTTCTCTCCTCCTCTCTCCTCCCACCTCGTTTTAATTGGCATACTTTCTTATCCATACACAATGTGGGTTTTAATTACACACCAGACTTCACATTACAAAGCCTTTCTTCTATCTGTTCTCCCATTCATGTTCTATACTCCCACTAAACAGGAAGTTGACTAAAGTGAAAGAATTTGTGAAAGAATTATACTTTTTTGTGTTTTTACAGGATGCTGAGCTGGCCGCTAGGATACTCCTCGACCAAGGACAGGTAAATAGTCCTAAAAATTTTAATGAGAGTTTTAAAATGTATATATCTTCTAGGGCTGTCAACTAATTATTTTGTTCAGATTATAAGGACTTGTATAGGACGACACCAGAAAGGAGAGTTCAGTGTATTTGTTGTTTTATGGTATTGTTTGGTATTTATTCATTTTTTAAACACATTTATAGTTTGAGCAAACAAAAATATACATATAGCAGAAACCAATTGATTTGTTTCTGTTAAACAAACTTCAGCATAAATCTGTATCAGAATCGCTACATTTGAAGCTTAGTTAGATCTCAAAATCTGAGCAAAATACTTTTTACTGTTTATACAAATACATTGTACATACCTTTCTTCTTTTTCCTGCATAAATAGTTGTATGTTAGAGTTGTAGTCTTGAGTGTAGTCTGGGTCAGATACATAATAGTTTTAAGAGCTTTTGCCACGCCCCAATTTTTCCCGTCTAATCAGAAGGACATGTCTGTAGTTGACCAACAATTTTAGTCAACTTCAGCCCAAGTTTTATCCTGTCTGGTCTATTTTGGGTAGTTTTATAGCAGTTCTCCCAGAGCCAAATGAGAGTGTTTCTGTGCTGTTGCCAGAGCATTAGGTCTGTGCTCTCCAACAGTTTCTGTTTTGTGAATGAAAACAATGAAAAGGCCATTATCGACCTGTGGCTCATTAGCTTAACTATGACTCCTCTGTTAAAATGTCAGGTTTAATTGACAGTAAATTAAAGATCTGATGTTATTGTCAATGAACAACATTCACGACATTTACAAGAGAACATGCTGAAATCAAATAAGAATAACTAAATACATGAAATAGAGATATGCATAGAAAAGCTAACTGGAGGCACTGCTCTGTCTGAGATCTGTTAATCGAGTTACACTTTGTGATGTTTGTTGTAATACAATCTTATACAATTTAATAAAAAATGTGTGTGGTTTTATATTACTATAGCAATAACTGGAGTTTTTACTTGCAGTGAACAGGAGGCGCTCTGGGACAGTTATTCATTTGCTTCTCATACATATCTCAGTCATACATATGTCAAAGATTAATAAAAAGTTCCATAGTGTGTCTTTAACATACATTTTTCAATCCATTCCCATATTTCCTCTTTGACCAGTTAAAATATTAAAGTGCTGGTGTCTTCAGACGTTACATCAGTTTGATTAACATTGACATTGGCCCCAGAGGCTCCTGTCACTCCCTCCACAATCACACTTCCATTGTCTCTAACACCTTTTGTTCTTAAATAAACATGTCTAAATTAAGATCTTTGCCTTAATTAATGGTGTTTTTGGCTCAAGTCACTTATAGAAATAATCAGGTTCAACATTTGTGAATTTACATTTTGGATATTTCATAACAAATTACAATGAAATAAATAAGGAAAATTTGGCTCTTGCCCCCCTAGACTTTGAAGATTTCAAATAATTTCAAATAGAAGGCAGTGTCTGTGGGAGATGAACTGTTTTTGAAAGAAATATCCAAGCTTAAGATCCACATATATTGAATCTTCTCATTATTCATTCTGTGATTTGCTCCAAAGACTCATCATATTAATCTTAAGGCTTCAAATCCTTTTAGCTGACAACAATCACATCTTTGGAGTTGAATAATTGCACCACGTTTTAAAGATGTTGTAAAGAAAGTAATTTCACTTTTAATGCTGACAGAGAAGACTTTGAACTTTGTGCGAGTTTACAGGCCCAGTAATCACAGCAATATTAACCATAAACCAGGTTGACAAATGTGCAGTCTGACATTTAGTTTGACAGCAAATTCCATCATTAAAATTCTGACTTGTCCTCCAGCTCAATTTAAATTATAGGCAGCTTATAATGTTATGATCTTACATGAACTCAACCTGTGCGTATTATGTTCACTTAAATAATCAGATGTCATAAAAAGCTACAAACAAAATTTTGAAAACACATCTTATAATTTGCTATTTTTTATTATTTAAATGATAAACATGTATTTGTTGCGTTCTTTAGGAGCACAATATTGAGACTCCTCACGGTGTTCTTCACGTGACGGTTCATGGAGCTCGGAGCTCTCGGCGCCCGGCCATCCTCACCTGCCACGACGTTGGATTGGACAGTGAGTACAAAGACCTCAATCCCAGAGGTGGTAATAAGAAAAATGTACTTCAGAATAGTTTTCAGAGATACCATACTTTTACTCCTGTTTGAGTAATACTACACTGTACAGTATAAAAGGACTCTTACTTGAGTAAAAGTTTTGGTGATTCTTCCCACTATGACTAAGTCTACAAATGACAAAAGCTTTATGACAATAAATTATTACATTGTAAACTTATTTGGACCACTCCTTGTGATATAATTATAATTTTTGTGTCTGTCCATTGTAAATAATGTTAAATCAGATGTTATGCCCAGTTTTACTTTTTCTTTTTCTTGGAATTCTTGGATTTGTTGGACCACAACTTACTTGAGTATTATTAGTTTGAAGTAACTTTCTTGTGTATGTCTTTTTAATATATTTTGTATTTATGGATTACGCTTTTTATCTATTGCAGATTGATAGCTAGTTGACGAATGATGACTTGAATACACATTTGGTCAATTAGAATCACTACAAACATTTTAGATTTATGTCTCTTTTTCTTTTTCCAGGTAAGAGCTGCTTTTCCACCCTGTTCCAGTTTGAGGAGATGCAGGAAATCGTGAAGAGTTTTACCCTGATCCACATTGATGCTCCGGGGCAGGAGGAGGGGGCCACTGTTTTCCCCGCCAGGTACCTCCGGAAATTCACTGGCTCCTCAGCTATCTCAATATTGTACAATAAACATCCTTTGTATTTCCAGATTAATCAGAAATACTTAACATTGTCCCCATTCCTCCTCTGGCCCTGGGTCATCATATCCTCTTAAATGAAAATCTGCCTGTAGACCACAGATCTATTATCTGTCTGTTTATTTAACCTTTAAAGCTACGTCAGTGTCTGTTGTTCTAAATCCCCATATAAGTGAACATGCTTTTAGTTAAACATCCTATGTTACAGAAAATGTATTCTTGTGAGCTTTTACTCACGTTATAATGTTGTTACCTCATCAAAAGCATACCGGGAGCTGTGCTTTATTTCATCCGCACATGTTTTGATTGATTAATGCTGCATTATTTCTTTGTCCACATCTCCAAAGCTCAGAATGCTCTTTTCCACCTTGTGATGTCAAGCAGTGGTCATTTTCAAGTTAACAGCTACGTTTTACCTTTTGTTCAGTGGAAATTGCCAATTTCAAGGCTGAAATCATGCAAATGATTCTAGTGAAGATGTATGGAGTTTAAAAATACAGTGGAGCTGTATTACCACATGAGATCACAAGGTGGGACAGGTTGTTTTCTGTTTGTGAGAAGAATTCAGCCTAAATATGCAGGGTTTGTGTGTTCAACATGTGTGAATTAGAGATGCGCGGATGGGCTACTTTTTCATCCGCAACCGCATCGCAAAACTCATCATCCGCCCGCTATCCATTTGCAACCACAGTTTTTCAAAACAGCACCCGCCCGCCATCCGCTCGGTCCCCTCCCATTTGCTCCGAGTTCAGAGTTTTTTATTTGAGTAGTGACTCCGCTACCCGCCCGATTTAATTAAAATATTATTTTTCATCACGTCATCCGCCCAACCTGCGGTTTAGCCGCGGAGTCCGCGGTTGTAACCGCAATCCGCGCATCTCTAGTGTGAATGAAACAAAATACAACTCCAGGTCTGTTTTTGAGGAGGAAACAACATTATAACATAGATCAGAAAATGCCATAAAATATAAAACTTAAAAATACTATGCTAAGGTCCATAAATAAATAAACAACAACAAAAAGCATAATATTGTAACATCTATTTGCCTTTAGTTTAGTCCATAGAAATGTCATTATTTTGTATGTATTTAGTGTTGAGTAGTTTTGCGTTCATTAACTTGTGTATTTCCTGTTTCAGTTACCAGTACCCCTCCATGGACACTGTTGCAGAGATGATCCCTCCGGTTCTGCAGTTCTTCAAGTGAGTTCGATGGATTAATTTGGACATTTAATTCAGTTTAGTCTTGAAATAAGTCCGTAAATAGATTAATTTGTATTGGAAAGTCGGGAGTAAACAATGTTGAAGTTTCAAGATGAAGTTGGCAAACCACACAGAAACGCTGGTCTCTGTAAGAAATATAAAAGAGGAGGTATTTTACTTCTATGGGTTATTAATTGTTTTGAAAATGTTATATTCAAAAACAACGCAGTAACATGTTTTATACATTTCTCTTTGGTTTTTGACGCTCTTAGTCTTCCCTTCCTTTGCTCTCCATGCTAAGTCACTCCCTGTTCAGAGAGCAGGCACAAGTGTCACAGTGCATTAATTAATTAAAACTTGTAGTTGCTGTGTACAGTTCTGTATTTTGCTTTTTATATTTATGGAGAATTGTCATGTGGGAGCATGGATGACTTAGGCTTGTGGGCTGAGCATTGCTAAATTATGTTGTTAATTAATTACTTAAATGTACGTGTTTATTTAATTATGTATTTGAATATAAGATTAGCTTTATTTTAGTAATTATTTTCCTGAAGTTGATGTCTTCTTTTCTATGTCCCTGTGCAGCTTCCAAACTGTGATTGGGATTGGAGTAGGAGCAGGAGCCTACATCCTCTCCAAGTTCACAGTAAGAACTCTCATTTTACTATATACTACATTACACCACTGACAAAGACGGGCTAATATGGTGTTTTTCCCCTTTTATTGATGAACATATTGGAATGTGTGAAAATATTCCATCTTGGATTGGAAAATGTGTTTAGCTAGCTCTTACCTCCTCCTACTAGTAAGATGACCAGAACTGAAGTAGTGTCTTCACTCTAAAACTTTAGTCCAGTTGATAGAATTGAAATGTATTTTGTTTTTTTCAGTGTTACAAGTATTAATATAGTACCCTGTATCCCTAGTTCATCCCTTTATGTAACCTGTGTCTTATGTTTGTAGCTGGCAAACCCGGACTCTGTGGAGGGCCTGGTTCTGATCAATATCGACACCAACGTCAAAGGCTGGATCGACTGGGCTGCTCAGAAAGTATGAACACACAACAGCTGCTACAGTACACAGGAATCAGGAAATTATCCATAATATGCATTTGAATCCAGGTTTAGACTGGGATTAAACCTGGTTTGGATCTGGTCTATTGGCTCTATTGGATTTAGTCCTGATTTCAGTACTGTTTCAGACTCAGTGTAGTTCTTAGTTTTTAAGTCTTTAACTTATATGCAATATTTATAATATATATGCAATATTTATAATATACAGTATGTATAATTTTGCATTACTATTTAATACTTTAATACATTTGAGAGCAGGTATCTAGTAGTATCTAGAAGTAGAGTAGAAACTATAGGTACATGCAAACCTGTACCTATACTTTCTACTCTACTACCTTTTTTAACAGGATGTGAAAAAGTCAAATTATATTTTATAATTGATTGAGACTTGCTGAAATGGTTGAGGGTTTATTTTTTTAACACCTTAAGTCCTCAAAATCTGTGCAAAAATATCTCTTTAAATACATTTTAAACGGGTACTTTAATACTTCTACTTAAGTAGATTTGATGTGGTACTTTTACTTCATGTTTTCGTATTTTTTGCTCTGGTATCTGTACTTTTACTTAAGTAACAAAATAAAGTACTTCTTCCACCACTGTTTTGAACTCACAGACCCTGGCATTTAAATTGAGTTAGTGTTAACGGTGGCTCTCCATCATTCCACATTAGTGGTGCTGATTGCAGCCTGCACCTGCCCCACTCGTCTCATATCTCCTCTCATTAGGTCCATGTTTAAAGAGTTCACTGGTGAATCTGATACTGATGGTTTGTTTTGTTTTTGCAGCTGAGCTCGGTGACTCACTCGCTCACGGAGCAGATCATGACCCACCTCTTTAGTCAGGTAAAGGGTTCAATCTGAGAAGTATAGAAACTGAATATGAAAGTAAACGGACATGTACAGGTGAATATGTGTATGTTAAAGAGCATATGACAAGTTGGACTACTATTTTATTTATTTACTTATTTATTTATTTGACAGGGACAACGCAGTCGTACATAATCACAGGCAGAACATTCAGCTGATTCGACGCATATAGTGTACTGACACTTAACAGTTAAAAGTTTCAGAAAAATAGAGTTAACAATAGATGAAGTTAATTGTTTTATTTCCTGGTTGGACAGAGACAGCAGATGTGACAATTTAGTTTTAAAAAGTTTTAAACCACCATAAAAATATATTCCATTTTTGTGTAACATGGACGGAATTTTCTGTGTTGATAACATACTGTAGGTAGAGGTACTCACCACCACTGTACTACTCTACTACTGTATTTTTGTACTTTCTCACAAACTGCCACTTAATGCAGATCTCTGATAAATATTTACCCCAGATACCATCGCATTGATTAGAAAAAAACATGCAAACCTGTCATATGCACTTTTACTGACAATTGTCCTGCATGTATTTTCTGTAACTTGGCCTGTAGGAGTGAGCTGCTTGTTTTAATGGAGATAGATGGTCTTAACTTTAACTGTCATGTTTCCTCTGTTCAGGAGGAGCTGTCTGCGCACACAGAGCTGGTCCAGTTTCACAGAGACAGAATGAACAAGGCTCCACATGTGGGCAACCTCGAGCTCTTCTGGAAGGCCTACAACAGGTACTCACACTGTGTACTGCTACTGCAACTACCGCTGCTACTGCAACTACTGTTGCTACTACATTACTGCCACTACAACTATAGGAATCAAACTAAAATGCTTTTATGCCCCTTTAGTCGCAACCAGCTCCACCTGGATCGCAACAACACTTTCAAGTAAGTGTCTGAAAGTTTACAGTAGTAGAATAGTAGAAAAAAAATAATTTCTAATAATTGAAACAGTAAGTAGCTGGAGGATATAGTTTCCATTTTCAAAGTCTTGTCTCCTACAGGTGTCCAGTGATGTTGGTGGTTGGAGATCAGGCCCCATATGAAGAAGCTGCTGTAAGTTTCATTTAACAAATAAACATCTACTGTGTAAAAGCTTCAGCTGATCCAGAACTATTCAGCACATCACTGATCTCAAACATTTAAATGAGCTGTTATTATTCGTATTTGTAATGCTCCTCTGTGACCATTAGGTGGAGTGCAACAGCAAGTTGGACCCGACAACCACCTCTTTCCTTAAGGTAAGCTGTTGGCGTTTAAACTTGGATCTTCATCATATCTTCATATTGTAACACATGGATAATACAGATGTTGTTTTCTGTGTCTCCACAGATGGCTGATGCCGGCGGTCAGCCCCATATCACTCAGGTTTGTTTATTCAAGGGATTACTAATTTGTTAAATTAAAAAAGGGGAAAAGGAGTTAATTATGATGATATTTTTTTATCTCTTTTGCAGCCGGCCAAATTGACTGAGGCTTTCAAGTATTTCATCCAGGGCATGGGCTACAGTAAGTCGTCTAACTCCACCATTCTCAAACTGGGGTTCCCTGGGCCACGTGTTGGATCCCTCTGAAATGTTTTAAATATTGATCATTACTTAAGTACTATAAGCTCTTATGATATATAATAATAAACAGTTAAAGTTTTTGATGGAACGGTGCACAAGTCTTACTTCCTGGTTCGTGGATGATAGAAAAAAAAAATCTAATACAGCCCCTTTAGGTACTAATGTATTTTAAAATGAACCAAACCTTACATTTGCCATGTACTTCTCTCCACAGTGGCCTCCTCCTGTATGACACGTCTGTCTCGTTCACGCACCACCTCCATGTCCTCCTCCTACTCCATGGACGGCTCTCGCTCCCGCTCGCGCACACTGTCCCAGGGCTCGCAGGGAGGCCAGATGCCCCCCAGCCCCTCCCAAACCATGGAGGTCTCCTGTTGAAGAAGATAGACCACCATTTCAATGTTTGGTTTTAGCAGAGAGAGAAGGGAAGCGTGACAGTCAAATGCAGGATCAAGACCTTTTTGTCACTAAACAGCTACCGTCATTCCCCAAAAGTGTGTAGGCAGACGGGGAAAGGGAGGAAGTGCACAATATCAGACATATTTGTAGTCCATTTGAAACCGGCGGATTTGTAGTCCATTTCAAACAGCTTGTGACAAATACTGGACGGAAATTGAATAGCACTGTCCTCCCTTGCTCCTTCTGTTGCAGCCTGTAAGACAATAGAGCCCTTTAATCTAGAAAAAGGGGTGTTATCTATATATACATAGAGAGAGAATACCCCTTTATTTAACAATAGTCATAATTCTGCAGTCTGTCATATTATTATTGCAAATTAACTGACATAACACTTTTCACATTATGAGTTTAAAGCAACAGATTAAAACTATAGCAGAGATACTTATAATACTAGAAATGTGTTTGTCTAATACTTTTAAAGCTAGTTTTACTTAATATTAATGCATTTCTTTGATTGAAGTTTGTTTCCAGCCTCAGAAAGGGGTTGAAAGCTACTGATTGGCCAATGAGCTGAAGTTAGCAGCCTCTAAGAGCCATTGTTTAGCGACTACTTCCTCGTTGATGTTGCCGGGTTGTTTATGTCTTCCATTGTCCTGTCTGTTTTATTGTCCTGACATGGAAGAGCTGGTCCAATCTAGATAAAATACAGTTTTTTAAATTCTGATTGACAATTTTTGAAGCAGGACCAATTTTAATTATGTCTATCAAATCACATGAGAAATTAGTAATAATCATCAAACCATAGACTGTACAAAAAATGTATATGGCTATAGTCCTCCTGGCTATTGGCAATTAATTATAAATGGCCTAATCATTTTTAACAATGAAACTGGCTTTGTTGCATCAAATTAGACAAATTTTAAACTTGCTTAAAAGCTGTATTTAGTTTATGCTGAGGACTAAATAATTATCCAAGATGTTGCACAGATTATGGATAAATATTGACTTCTTTAAACTTGGCAATGGAAATTCAACGACAAAAGTTTTTTGATCAAATACGTTTCCCTAAAACTGAAGCAGCAGGTTGGATGAGCTGCGAAAAGTATTCAAATAAAAAAAAACTTTTGTCCAGTTAACAGAATTGAATTTCTCCTTTGCTATGGGTCCTACCTGGACGACTGAGGGATTTTACAAACTTCTTTAAAACTTGCATTCACAATTTAGAAAACTGGCACTGATGGGGCAGGACACTTTCTGTTTTGCTTTGGAATAGTTTGAAAGCTGCATGCCTGATATCAGCCCATGTGAATATTGACTGGATTTTTTTTTTTTTTTTTTTATTCAAATTTTTTGATGTTAATGTGAGTGTGTGAGAAAATATCCTTTTGTTTTGCTGATTGCTTGGAGGGCGTGAAAAGCATAAAGGCAAAGGCGCTTGAGAGCTAGCTTAGCGTTGAACTTGTCTTGATTCTAGTCGCACACAGAATAGTGCTTCCACAACTGCTGGCGGTCTTACACTGCATGCCCCGATATCCACAATGTCCACAATGTCCACGCTTGTGCACAACTCAAATTAACACAGGAGCACCTAGCAAAGGCGCTAACTAGCATGGACATTTAGCGTTAACAGGGTTAGCCTCGGCCAGAAGGACTCACTGTGTTTAAATCCCTTCTGGGTTGTTCTTTTCAAAGCCAGTGCACAGATACCTCCTAACCAGCCCAGCGACATACTTGAGTTTGTGTGCGATTACAGCGAGGGGCACTAATAAACAGGCGTGACGCAACTAGCTAGCAGCTAAAGCTAATTGTGTTTGTTTATGTGTAACGTGTGTGAGATGGCTAATGCTAAAGCTAATAAAAGCTGAGTTCGAAGCACAAATAATGCAGCAATGAGGATGGAAGGCCAGGGTCTTTCAAAATATGACACCAATTTACTAATAACCTTAGACCCCTTTTTCACTGCCAAAAAAAATAGACCTATTGATAAAAATTTGTTTATACCAATGAAGCAATTAAACTGCCAAAATTAAGCCTTTTATACAATTTAAATTTCACTGTGAGCTTTTGACATGATTACTAAATACAGACATTTCCAAACTGAAAGCTAACCACTGCCCTGTGACTTGCAGATATTGAAGTTAATACAGACCCAGGCCTATATCCTAGGATTGCATGCGTATTGTATCTTAATGCAGTATTTTCTTTTTTCCCCATTAATTGCTAGTTAGGGTAGCCAGGTAGCCCACTAGCTCTAGGTTTTTGTCAAGTGCTCCTTTCTTAAAATCATGTCCACATTATCCTTGATACTGCACGATCTACTCTTAAGTTCAAATTTATTCAGATGTGAGTCATATAAATTGTGAATTTTTAGGCTTCTTTTTAGGCTTCTTGCCTGATGTTACAAGACATGCGGATGAATTGGATGAACTGAGGTAGTTGGTGTTTTCAGCGATTGCATTGGAAACATCGCTTCTGATTTGTACCACAAGTGAGCAGTTGGGGGCGCCAATGATACAAATACTGTGTGACAATTCAATCCAAGATTTTCAGACTCAGTAGTTCCATATCAATTAAAATATATATATTTTAAAGGTCCACTATATAACTTTGCTGTTCTGTAGACGCTGTTGCTTTGCCTTGGATGTTCTCAATTATTATTCAGTTACATGTTTTTTATTGCTTAAAGAAGAAAAACATGGGTCACTTCTCCACATGTCTATCCTGTATTTTTGGCCTGGTATCGTTTAACATCATAGGAACATTCAAGGCATTGCAATAACATTTCCACGGAGAATAGCAGGTTGTGTGTGCCCACAACACAGTGCATCTTTAGCTAATAATCTATTGTTAAAAATTGAAGTGTGGCAAATAGTTAACGACACAGAACAATTTCAGTAGCAATTTTTACGGTGCTTTTCAAGTCCAGCCAACCCAATAATATCATTAAGCATTACTTATATGGTGCTGGTTTTGTCCTAAAACCACTCTGTACCATCATGTTGTCCTGAAAAGGTTTTTTAAATCTGCCAAATATGAATTCTTGACAGGAGTTTAGGAAGTGAAATTTTCCATTTTCTTTAGACAAAATGGTGGTACGTCTTTTTGTGAGGTGAGCGTGGTTGTGCGGTTGCAAGTCCAATTGTACCTGGATCATGTTATTTCTCCCCTTCATGTTAGATTTTACTTTTCTTCTGTAAAATGTATGTTTATTGTCTCCATGTGTTCACAAAGTTAGCTAAATGTGTGATAGTTCTTGTGTAACTTTTTTAGCATTAGCGCTGATAAAGGAGAATAATAATATAACAATAAAAGATTAAATGTAATGGGAAACAATCTGATTTATTTGTGTGGCTAATTTTTCTGTGTTAACACAATGACCATCCTAAAGAAGCAACTTAAATATTAATAAAAGCTTACAGAAAACACAGACTTTTTGTCTATTTATTTTTGTAATTAATGTAATTTTGGGGCAGTAGAAGTGACCAAAAGCAGAAGTATTTCACATTGCACTGGTGAGCACATTCCTTTAACTCAGGTATAAATCTAAGGTTCTTGTCATAAAAGTCTGTAGAATGATCAATCCAATCCAACTTTATTTGTACAGCACATTTTATAAGCAAAACAGTTTCCAAAGTGCTTCACATAGCAATGCAAAACATTTCACTTTAAAACACAAATCAGCAGAATTATGTTTCAACCATAAGAAAACTAACAGAATAAATAAATAAAATAATAATAATAAAATCAATGAACAAAAATAATAAAATCAAAGGCAAGGCAAGTTTATTTGTATAGCACAATTCATACACAAAGTAATTCAAAGTGCTTTACAGAATAAGAAATACATTAAAATCATAATAAAAACAAATCAAAACATAAATAATCATGAAGATTAAAATTAAAAAAAGAGAGACATAAATTGGAGAGAAGAGTGCGGAATGAAAACCTTTCAGTTATATGCACAGTTAAACAGAAATGTTTTGAGTCTGGATTTAAACAGTGTCACAGAAGAGTCTGTCTCACATGTTCAGGAAGACTGTTCCAGGTTTTAGCTGCATGAACCTGAAACGCTGACTCCCCTTGTTTAGTCGTGACTCTGGGCACCAGCAGGAGGCCGGTCCCTGAGGTCCTCAGAGTGTGAGATGGTTCATATGACACTAACATGTCACAGATGTACTTTGGTGCTCGGCCATGGAGAGACTTGTACACAAGCAGAGCTGCTTTAAAGTCTATTCTCTGAGGCACAGGAAGCCAGTGCAGAGACCTGAGCACAGGACTTATGTGCTCGTACTTCCTAGTTCGAGTAAGGACCCGAGCTGCAGCGTTCTGGATGTTCTGCAGCGTCTCACAGCTCGTTTGGAGAGACCAGTGAGCAGACCATTACAGTAGTCTAACCTACTGGAGACAAATGCATGGATAAGTTTCTCCAAGTCTGATTTAGACAGTAAACCTTTGATTTTTGCTATGTTTTTTAGATGGTAAAAGGCTGCAGATGTTATTGATTTTATGTGACTGTTAAAGTTCAAGTCTGAGTCCATTATTACCCCTAGATTTCTTGCCTGATTTGAAGGTTTTAGAGAGAGAGACTGGAGGTGACTGCTGACACTGTCCCTTTGTTTCTGTGGACCAAACACTATGACTTCAGTCTTGTCAGAGTTTAGCTGGAGAAAGTTGTTTTGCATCCACACACTGATCTGTTGGATGCAGTGACCAAGTGACTCCACTGGTCCATAGTCTCCTGCTGCCAGAGAGACGTAGATCTGAGTGTCATCTGCATAATTGTGGTACGACACGTTATTGCTGCTTATTAACTGGCCTAATGGCAGCATGTAGAGATTGAACAACAGGGGGCCCAGGATTGACCCCTGAGGCACCCCACAGGTCAGGGCCATGTCATTTGAGACACAGTTTCCAATTTCAACAAAATACTTCCTGTCTTCTAGATAGGACTTGAACCAGTTTAGTACAGTACCAGAAATGCCCACCCAGTCCTCTAGTCTCTGTAAGAGGATCCCATGATCGACAGTGTCAAAAGCAGCACTCAGATCTAACAGGATCAAGACTGAGACTTTGCCTGCATCAGTGTTCAGGCGGATGTCATTTGTCACCTTGATAAGAGCAGTCTCAGTGCTGTGGTGGGCTCTAAAACCTGACTGGAAAACATCAAAGGAGTTGTTCATTTGGAGAAAGTTCGTAAGCTGTTGGTAAACAGCTTTTTCAAGGACTTTGCCAAAAAACGGCAGATTTGAGATGGGTCGGAAATTGTTCAGTACTGTGGCATCAAGACTGCTCTTCTTTAGGAGAGGCTTAATGACCGCAGTTTTCAACGCGTTTGGGAATGTTCTAGATTGAAGTGACATGTTAACTATGTGAGTGAGTGGTGAAAGTAAACTGTTGAGGACAGGACTTTAGAAATCTAGTGGGTAACATGTCCAGGCAGCAAGTAGATGAACTCAGACTGGTAACGATCTCTAAAACAGTTTTGTCAGTTACAGGTGCAAAGTGATTCAGCTCTAAGTGTCTCTGTGGCTGCATGCTTGTTATTTGTGTTGTGGAATTGATGGCATTTTTGATGCCCTGAACTTTGTCATTAAAGAAAACTGCAAACTCATTACATTTAGATGTGGAAATTAGTTCTTGTGGCAGTGGAGCTGGAGGGTTTGTTAATCTGTTCACTGTTGCAAACAGGACACGAGAGTTGTTACTGCAATTACCAATAATGTCCGAAAAATACTTCTCTCTTGTTTTACTCAAAGTGTAGTTGTACATATGCATTGTTCCTCTGTAAATCTCATAATGAACCTGGAGGTTTGACTTGCGCCATTTCCGCTCAGCCTTCCGGCACTCCCTTTTCTGTGTCCTGACTGAGTCATCATTCCTCCACGGAGCTTTTTGCCTATCTTTAACCATTTTAACCTTTATCGGGGCGATGGCATCCAGAACATTCAAAACACTCAAAGTCACAGAGTTCAACACATCATCAACATTAGAACATGAGGCAATTTCAAAATGTATCATTTCCATGAACAGTGCACCTGTGTTATCATTTATGTGTCTCCTTCGAACAACTGTAGGAGCAGCCGGTGGTTTGGGAATAACAGACAGGTCAAAGAAGACACAGAAATGATCAGACAGAGCAACATCAACCACATTGACATTTGAAATATTTACACCCTTTGTAATGAGCAGGTCCAGAGTGTGCCCTCTGTTGTGAGTGGGCTCACTGACATGCTGAGTCAGACCAAAAGTTTCAAGGACAACACTAAGCTCTTTGGCATTTTTGTCACACACATTATCCACATGTACATTAAAATCACCTGTAATGACTAAACCATCAAAGTCTGTGCAAACAACTGAAAGCATCTCAGTAAAATCATCAATAAAACTTTGACAGTGCTGAGGAGGTTTGTATATGACTATGTAGAGTATGCAGTACATAAAGCAGTACTGAAAAAATAAAATGGATAAAAAAATAAAATAAAAGATACAGCGGACCACACAATTCACGCTGTATTAAAAGCCAGAGAGTAAAAGTGGGTCTTAAGATGAGACTTAAAACACTCCACTGTGGGGACTGTTTGGACGTGGGGGGCAAAGAGAAGGCTCTGTCCCTCCTGGTTTTAAGTCTTATTTTGGGGATCACGAGCTGGAGCTGGCCCTCGGACCTCAGAGCGTGCGGCGGTGTAAATTTGGATGAGGTGTAATGTGGGGCCAGTCCATTCAAAGCTTTAAAAAGAAATAATAAAATCTTAAAATCAAAATCACTATCATTATCATTTAAAGGTCTATTTTAAACAGGAACGGGCACTATACACTTTATTACAGAATCAATAATTTTAGGATCTTCAGAAATGGTGCCACATTTTTTTATTTTGTCATCATTCACCCGTTCATTCGCACATTGATACTCCGGTGAGGTTGGTTAAGTTTCTTGCCCAATGGTAAATGGTTACATTTTTCTATAGCACTTTTCCACCTTCAAGGCACTCAAAGCGCTTTACAACAAGGAACCACTCACCCATTCACACACACATTCACACACCAGTGTACGCAGACACTGTGGGCAAGGTGGGTTAAGTGTCTTGCCCAAGGACACAACAACAGCATTCATCTGTGGGAGCTGGAATCACATCAGCCAATCTGTGGGTCAGTGGATCTGACCGCTCAACCTGTGATGTTTTATGTCGAGAGCTGGATTGAAACCACCAACCTTCAGATCAGTGGGCAAATGCTCTACCAACTGAGCCACTGCCGCCCCAGTGACTGCATTCATCTCTGATAGTTGGAATCACACCACCAACCTGTAGTTAAGTGGATCTATCTACCAATGATGTTTACATTGAAAGCAGGATTCAAATCGCCAACCTTCAGATCAGTGGACAAGCTTAAAGTAATTTCAAGTAACAATAACCAGGCCTTTGGAGTTCAATAATGACACCACTTTCTGAATCTAAAGAGATTCTAAAATGTTTTGATGTCATGTAAACCCAACCCACTGACACTGGATTATCTTTTACCATTATTATTTTTATTTGTATCTTGTTTTATTGTCTTCATTTTAATGTTATTGGAGAGATTCCAGAATGTGACAATGTTTTACTCTCAGATGTGAGGCCAGAGCAACTTGTCCCCGTTGATGACATTGTTCTTTGACATGAAAAATCTAAAGGTAAACTGAACCTTATCAGGTCTATTAGTGACCAGACCCAAGGCTCACCGTATTACAATAAAACATGCATTTAACAATATTAATTTTGGCCTATCTGTATTAAATAAAACTGGCCTCTTGATACTTTGCAGCTGATGTCATTAAGATGCCCTGGGGTTGTAAAGCTAACTCGAGGCTCTGCTCTGTTTGAGGCTCTTGTTAGGCTTTAATCTGATTTTAGACTTTATTTTAGACTGACTTGGTTGGAACTACAGCAACTGAGCTGATATGTGCTAATAAAATTATAGACACAAGCTAGCTAGCTGTAGCCAACAGTTTTTCAGGAGTTTTTAGAAGAGTTTTGACTGTTATTCCTGCAGCAGTTTGTTCTCATGGTAGGCATTTTCATCACAGCTTACAAGAGACATCTTAAGAAAAACTGGCATAGTGTTGCTGTATGTAAGCATTTGCGTTCTTGCCACTTAGTTTGGCATCATGCTTGGACTTTACACCCACCGGAATTGCATATCTCACAGTGACACGGCACCCATTGTTTAAAACTAATCTATGCAACCCAAATATATTGTTAATCATAATCCTAAAAATGACATCCTCAAACCACTCTATACCATCATGTTGTCGTGAAAAAGTTTTTTAGAAAATTTTGCCAAACATGAAATCACTACAGGAGTTTATAAAGTGAAATTTCCCATTTGATTAGACAAAATGATGGTACATCTTTCACCAATTGTAGAATTGGAATGTGAAGTCCTATTTTAGTGTTTGAAGAGAGGATAGGCTTGGTCAAACTGGCTGGTTCAATGCTCTGGACACGCCAAATGAAGGCTGAACTCTTCATTCCTGTAGTTTTAAGTTACACACTGATTTGAGCTGATGAGTTGATGGAGGTAGAGAGCAGAGGTGGGACCAAGTCCTTGTTTTGCAAGTCTCAAGTAAGTCTCAAGTCTTTGACCTCAAGTCCAAGTCAAGTCCCAAGTCAAAAACAGGCAAGTTCAAGTCGAGTCTCGAGTCATTGGCCCATAAGTCCAAGTCAAGTCCAAGCCGTCTTCTTTGAGCTTCAAGTCATTTCAAGTCTTTAAACCAAAATACCAAATATAGCTTAGATTTTTGCAATTTATTTACTTTTTAAACTAAATTGTACTCAAAAAATCATGGTATATTTATATATGAGTATTTATATAAGAGTTGTAGAACTACTATTTTTTCCTTTTTAAATGTCTTGACAAGAGTGCAAATTATTACGATCAGAACAGAAAGAGTTCAGATTTAAGAGTGCTTAATAACAAGTTAATTTGTCAACAGTCTAATCATCAAGTCTTCTCAAGTCACTGAACTTCATGTCCAAGTCGAGTCCAAAGTCTTTGTCTGTTTAATCAAGTCAAGTCTCAAGTCCTAAAAATAGTGACTCAAGTCCTATAAGGTTTTGGAAAGAACGTCTTTCATTGAAAGAACTTGCCTTCTTGCTGTGTGCGAGGTCACCAGAGTACAGGTAAGACATATGACTGGGTCAATGACAATGAGACAAGAAGATATTTTGACATAATTTATAATAAATAAATTGTGCCACTCAATTCACAATTTTGGCCTAACAATTTTTTGATTTATTTAATTTAATATATTTGCTGTTATAGTAGCCTTATTTCCCGGACAGACTGACTGGAAAAAAGATGTGATGGTTTCGCCCCCATATTGGGTTTGAGACTAGAATGTCTTATTCTTACTCCCACTTCCACAGGTTAACAAACAAATAAAAAGTATTTTATTTGTCTGTTCATTTGAAGTTCAAACCTGTGGAAACTGACAGTCTTGGGTCTTTGAGGATGACTTTTGTATTTGGTTTGGTCTGAACTTTTCTAAATGTGAATCTAATTTATAGTGTGATGGCTCATCATCAGTGGCACATTAAGACACTTAAAAAAAAAAAAAAAGTATATTCATTTTAGCAGTAGAGGCTTATTTCTTAAACTTTTGTGTGGTTAGGTTCTTTATGTTAGATGGAGATATGTGTTATAAACATGTTCATAAATCACAGATAAAATTACATTTTAGCGATGCAAACCCAGATTCGTTTATCCAGTCATCAAAAAAAAAAAAAAAAACTGCATTAATTTTTATATAAAAAATAAGCAGGTCTAAATCCATTTAATCCAATCCAATATATAAAGAGAGTATATGCACAGAAAATACAGAATTACATATTAAATTGAGAATTATACAAAATAAGTTTACAACCATATTATACAACATTCTTACTGAGTGATAGCCCTTCCTAATCTTGAGAAGAACCCCTGCAGAGAGAAGCGAGTGTCCAGCACAAACACATCTGTGAGTCCCAAAGACATAAGCCAGTGGAGCTCATGGTGGATGTCGAAGGCGGAGTGATTGATCAGCTGCTGCAGCCTCAGTTGGTCGGTGGACCGGAGGAGACTTGCAGACCCTGAGGCAAGAACTAAAGATGGGAGGTAGTCACTGATGGGAGCCAGGAAAAACACAGAGAGTTTCCTTACTTTTACATGACCCCCAATGGTTCTGGCCTTGGTAAGTTTTCCAATAGCCTCTTTAATGTTAACAGTCAGAAGTAGAAAGACTTTGTATCGAGTGTTCTGATGATGGTCAAACCTGGTGTGTACGGTCATAAACTCTGCCTCAAGGTGTGCTTTGGAGTATCTGTAGACAAGGTCCTGTTGGAGACAGTACAGCTCCACAGACTTCAGGGCCTCCTGGAGGTCTTCCAGAGCCTGGTCTATGCAGTCTGGGTCTTGGTTGTTGTCCTGCTGGGCCAATCGTGCAAAGGCTCGGTTGTAAAATGCGATGGCTGCCCAGCAGTGGTCCAGCTCTATGGCCCTGGAGTACATGAGGATACTGTCCTTGAAGTGTCCTTGTTTGAGCAGCTTGTTTCCAAACAGAGTGTAGTGGTGCAGGTTTGACAGAGGAGAATGGCCCTCTCTGAGACTGTTTCTGGCTCTCTCCAGATCTGAGGACAGTTTATTCTTTTGAACATCACTGGGCTCTTTGTCATTGTCGTTCATGAAGAGCCACATGCCCCAGAACTCATGCAGTGCACTGACATCAGACTCTGCAAGCTGGTTACTGTTGCTTTGGTAGAAATCATCGATAAAGTTGAGATACTGAATGAACAGCTCCTGCTTCATCTTCATCTTTGGAATTACACTTTGCAAATAATCTTTTAACTTCTCTGCCACACTTTCATCTCTAACTTTTTTAGCCAACTCTACTCCACTATTGGGCCTGCTGGACAGGATCTTAGACAGTTTCTGGGACAAATCAGTGTCATCCTGACCACTGCATCGTATCCTCAGCTGCCTCTCAAACTGGTCTCTATACAGTGGTACTAGAGTGAACAGGTCCCTCAGTAGTGTCAGCAGACCACGGCCTAGCACCAACAGCTGGAGTGTTTCCGGGAGATGTTCGGAGCAGATGATGAGCTGTGCAGAACCTGGATTCCCTCGTCTCCCTGTGCGTCCAAAGGCCTGAGCCTCGACTCGGGCGTTCAAGGGCAGAAATGTCTGCAACACAAACAAACCTCCGGCTGAATTCACAGAGGCAGAGACCTTCAGGTCTGTGCCTCTTCCTGCCAGGTTCGTAGCTATGATCACTTTTCCTGCTGTAATTCCATTGTGAGTCACTGCTCTGTTGTCCATGTTGTTGCTGATGTAGAATACTTTATTCTGGACTGATTCTCCCAGAGCCTGGTGCACGGCCTTGGCACGCCTGATGGTCTCACAGATGACCAGCACTGCTCTCTCACCACGGTACGTGGTGGGGCGGGTTTGGGCTCTTATCACATCACAGATTTTCTGGAGCCATTCGTCCTCATCGTTGACAATCACTCCCTGCACCTCAAACAGCTTCCTGCGTTTGAATGTGGGGATGTAGCAGGCAGTGATGCCCTTGTAGATCTTCTGTAATGTGTCAGTCTCCACCTTCTGACCCAGAGTCCCAGTGACTCCATAGATCTGGTCCCCGTACATGTGGAGCAAACCCACGTTAGACATGAAGTTTGTAACAGCCGACATATCACTCAGCTTGTTCTGATGTTTCATTTCTAGAAACTGGTGCAGACCATCAGTCCACTGCATGGAGTTTTCCAACACACCAGTGTTTTTGAAGTCCACTGGCACCACTCCATGTCCCTCAATGACATAGTCATGGTCTTTGGTGATAGTTTGAGCATGAAAAGCATTTTCAATCCAATCTTCAATTTTGGAATCAACCAGACCTCGGAGAAACCCTGGTATGTAGCAGTTAGTTCTGCCTTCTCTCAGATCACATGGTGTAAAATACAAAGTATTCATGATTTCTGATTTGACTGCCCTCAGCAGACTCTCGTTGTCTCTGTAAATATACTGACACACCCCTCCATCGTGCAGCAGCAGTGACACAGTGGTCCTAGAATCATCATGTTGAGGAGACCCGTGTATTTTTTTGACCAAGTCTTTGTCCTGACTGTACAGAACAAAATGACATGTCTTATATTCATCCTCTATTGTTTCATAGAAGGCTGCAAGTTTTTCAGGACTAATATTTGCAGTTATTTGAGGAAAAAGACTTGGGTCTTGTTTAAGAGCATCGACAGAGCCTTTCTCTATGAGACCACTGACCTCTGCCAGTTTCAGGATTGTGGATTGATCTTCTTCTCCAAGAGATAAACTTTCAAGAGCAATATGATGAAACGGGGCTTTTGGTCCAAGCTTGAATGAGTTTTTACCTGTGTACTGGTTCACAGTGTACCAGATGTGAGCAAGGAGAGGGTTGAGGTGTTGAAGCGCTGGCATTTCACTGCCCAAATACACAGTGTGGCAACCTTTGTCCAGCATCAGAGAGTCCACTTCATCCACTATAGCACACTGGAAAGGCCTGTCTCCACGGATGTCCTCTCTCCCAAAGTGCTGTCGTAACCAGTCTGCTGCAAACTCATGAGATGTCCCATAGACCACCTGACAGTCATAACACTTTTTTAGGTCAGAGTTAACTTTGTTGATGTTACAGCTCACACTGATCTTGAGCTCTTTGTAGAACGTTTGCCATTCCTTAAAGTCTCTGTCAGCCAGAATTGGAGAGCTGGACATAATGTCCACTTTGTGTCCTTGCAGAGCTCGGAAGGCGGCAAACATGGCAACGATGCAGGTTTTTCCTTCTCCGGTGCTCACCTGAATCAGACGACCTTTTGCGGACAGAGCCATGAGGGCCCAGCTCACCATCTGTGTTAGTCTGGGAGTGATCTTCATTGTCTTCTTCACTGCAGCCACCAGCTTTTGCAGCACACTTGTGAGTTTATATTTGTGTTTTAACTGTGAGTTCACTTCTAAAACTATTTGTTTAGCATCACTGAGAAGTTTTTTATCAACACTATTTTGTTGCTCGATTTCACTGATTATTTCATCAAGTGTCTTATCTGTATCTGCCCCTAAAATCTGTTGCAGTTGTCCATCTGTTATTGTAGTATCCTGAATCAGTTCAATGAGAGACCTTGTAGATTTCCAGTTTGGAGTGATGTAATTGATTTCTACACAGTGCAACATTTTCAGCAGCCACAGCTGCAGGTCTTCTTTTGTCTGTTTAGAGTCAAATCGCTTCAGTAAAGATGTAAACAACTCAATAACCCCATCCAGACTCCAGAAAATATTAGTGACCAGTCCTTGAAGTTTGGTCAGGAGCTCCTCAGTGTGAGTAGGAGGTGGATGTAGAACCAGGTGGACTTGTAAAAGCTGAAGTAATCTCTCTCTGTCGGCCATCTTGGAAGGTATGACCCTGAACATAACAAAAAGGATATATTTTAAAATGTGTTAACTCACAAACTGAAATTCATTTTTAAAGACCTTGTTGACATGTTTCAGATGCTAACTACAAGCCTTTTTCAGAACTGTCACCACTTTTGTTACTTCCTGACCACACCTTTCACCCGATGTTATTTGTACTTTGCTTTCTGATTTCCATCACCTCTTTGACCAAGTGTTTGAACTTGTTGTTTTCTGCCCTGTCCATATTGTTATTATTATTATTATTATTTTATAATTATTTTTTTATTTATTTTTTACAGTGATTGTACAGTAGCGGATTAGAGCCATAATATCTCTTCATCACATTACTTTTGGTGTTCTTTTTCATGGATATGTGAAGCCTGTCCTTTTTCATCTATTTATGATTTTTCAAATGATTTGCATTAAATCTCATATATTGTGTCTTGAGGATGTACTAACATTTTGCCAGAATTTGTGCTGAATTACCTTACATAAAAGGCATAAGTGAACCCATCCAAAGGGCCATGGAAAACTACATCAGCGCAGTCATGTGAAAATCATACATAGGTGAAATAGGATGATTTTATTTCTGTAAAAAAAAGAAGACCAAAGGGAATATAAGGAGACATTAGACTCACCAGGTAAAAAAAAAAAAGAACAACATAACAAGAAACTCTAAAATGACCTACACCAGATCACTGCAAAAGGAATAATCACATCATGGAGTGGGACAGGGCAGAAAACACTTGGTAAAGGACATAACTGAAATCAGGTACAGATGGCATCAACCGAGATGACGGAGTATTACTTCTGTCACACACCTGACACACAGTACTCCAGAGACCAACAGAAGAGGCCCAGGAAGTAACACCAGCTGTGACACATCACCAAGACCAGTGACAGTTCTGGCTCACAGCTAACAGTCAGAACATGCTGACAATGTTTTTCTCCAAGCTTGTGGTCTTAAAAGAGGGGGTATTATGCAAAATCACTTTTTCAAGCTTTCTACCATGTTATAACTTTGTTCCCTTAAAAACATGCCTGAAGAGGTTTGATGTCATCCATGCATGTTTAAGTAGCCAATCTTATATTCTCCCCAGAAACTATTTGAACCCTGTGGATAGGGTAAATGTTATAATGAATTTTTAGTTTGCAAAAGGATGATGTACAGAAAACCCTTCTTCCCAATGCTGCAATTGCTGAAATTGCTGCTATTGCTAGCTCGGCTAAGTCCCAGACCAGCATACACACAAGTCTGTCTGATTGAAACTGTTCTTGTTTTTGACATCTCCTTTTGTTATCTGACAGTGGCTCACAAGAATAGGCTCCACAGAACTGTAGAGAATGCAGGAAGATCACTGGCAGAGAACAGAAAAAGGTGGATTGTCTTTACCAGTCGGCTGAGCAGGATGGTTGAATCTGTCACTGGTGAAGTTGGTCATGTGATGTGTGGTGAGCTGAAGGTGATGCCATCAGAGCGTTGGTACAAAAGCCTTCAGTAACAGAGAAGATAAATGATTATTTGTGCCAAAAATTTGTTTGTTCTAAGCACTAGTGAAAAGTATGGGTGCATGTAGCAGACTTTTATAACTTATTTATTGATTGTTGAGCTTTAATATGATGATTCATGTGTCATACGATGGTGAACCAAAGACAAATATCCAGTATAGTGCACAATAACTGTTTCAGAGTTAACTGTAATACTCAATAATACACAGATAAGATTAAAGGAGATCTAGGCTACAGTTTTACAGTTTTACAGTCTCGGATACGGTTCACAGCTCATCCAAGCTGCTTCTTCAGTTCTGAGTTAGTGAAATAAAGTATTTTTTAAATGATTTTGATTTCTGTTACAAGTATTAAAGAGGCTCTATTTTCCTTGACATATTTAGATCATTGTGCTTCTGTTTATTGTTTTGCATTGTATTGTATTGCTTTGGACAAATCTTACAGCTAACTGTAGGAGAGTTTGTTTTTAGAGCTTGGGAGAGATCACAAAATTGTTCAGACATGCATGGATGACACCACTTCAGGCATGTTTTTGATGAGGGAACGTTATAACATGGTAGAAAGCTCCAAAGAGTCGATTTACAGAATACCCCCTCTTTAATATAAAATAAAGAACAAGATCAGGAGAAACCCAAATTGATAATACCAGAATCCCATACATTTTAGAACATGTTAAACTACAAGGTTATATAACAACTGGATATGTATGCAAGTATGTAGGACAGTATCTACACCACTGATTCCCAAACTGTGGTACGGGTACTCCCAGTACAATGGTTAGACATTATTTTGATCTTCCTGCCTCATCAGAATGTTTAAAGTTTTTAGAGAGAGAAACATGTTTGTATGATGTGTGAAGCCTCCAGATATTTTTTCTCTAATTCAGCTCATTCAAGTGACTAGCAAAACAAATTTGGCCACTGACCTGACGATGCAGGTGAGAGGATAGAGGCTGGCACCGAACACGAAGAATGAAAACACAGACTGCATGTCTTTTTTTTTACTGGCAGCACCGCCCATAGATAACAAATGCCCGCCTGTGTCTACAGTAATGTCTCTGGTTTAAAATAAATTATGTGAGCAGCTAAACTATACTTTGTATGGGCATATGCAAAGGAAAACCAATGGAAAAAATATGAATCTATATTTTTTTATAGATGTTTTTGTCAGTGACCATTTATGCCCTTATATTCCTAAGTTTCTTTTTTTAAATGGAAGCCTGGAGGTTAATACCAATGATGATGTAAAAAAAACAACAACTTGCATACAAAGAGTGAATTACCTGCTGTGAGTTTGGAAAAGTTCTCCACTATACTTCTCCCTCTCCAGATTGAGTGGGCAGACTACAAGGAAACAAAGGCAAATTTTAAGATCCTTCACTATTACAAAATCATTTTCTTTCACAGTAAACCAGCAAAAAAATGACACAAGGTGGGTATACAAACAATTAAGTTAAAAACAGTTCTATGCATTAAAACATTTTTTGCTAAACTTTATAAAGCGGTTTATTTATTATTAATTTATTAAATAAGACTTGAGGTACATCTCTCTTTCGTTCTTCTCATTTACTTGTGCCCCATCTTCATTGTAAAAGGTTAGTTCAGTACTCACCTGTTGTACATGGCAGAAGTCTGATGCAAAAGATCATAAAGGCTTTTTATACTTGACCGTCACCTGGCACTGCCCTCTGGGGATTACCACTGCTTTCTATTGTCATTGTTTTTATTGTCTTGTGCCGTGACTTCTAAACATCATTGCTGATCAAGTTCATCTAAAAACAAAGTAAAGTTTTTGCATAAATGAGGCTGCTTTGTAAAATTAAAGGTACACTTGGTCACTTTTCTGGTGAGGGCTCCATCATCTGCCTGTCTCTTTTGAAAAGTTATTTCTTTCCCTGAAATGCTTCACAGTGTGACTTTAAACTCATTTATCATGAAAATACTATGCATTCTTTCTGAGAGCAGATGTGACCTCTGACTTATCCTTGTGGCATAGCAGAGTGTAGACATTCTGCCAGAAAAGTTACACAGTGCACTTTCAATTCCTCATCGTCTCATCTCTTCAGCTACCAACCTCTAAATGTTATTTACATTGTGATAGACACTTTATAATTTGTGTGTAGAGTAGCCACAATAATGAGAACTATATTCTGCTACAATGAGCTTATATTCTGCGTGCAATGTCATTTACAAAAAATCATGCATCACTTCTTAAAAATCATGTGACATTGTGTTTATATTTGGTGTTGATCTTGAGTATGACAGCAAGGTTTATCTTTCATTCTTGTATTTACATAACAATAGTTTAAAAAGGACACCGTTCTAAACTGGACTGAGCCACCAGTTTTTTGTTTTGTTATGTTTTTGTTTAGAGGTAACTTTCTGAGCACTGCAATGAAATAATTATAGAAATATTTGAAAAGGCACTGAATACTGAAGGATAAGTCGAAATCAAATAGTTCTTTACGGATATTTAAAGGGGCTCTGTGTAACTTTTCTGGTGAAGGGTCTGAACCTTGCTTGTCTCCAGATGATTACATTGCCTGTTCTACAATATGACATTTAAAAAAGGCCCACTGTGTGAAAACAGAGCAGGTTATTTTCCATAACAATCCCTGGAATTAACCAAACTGAAAGTGAAAGATGTTTTGTTTAAATATGCACTGAAGCATCTCAAGGTCATGACAGTGCTGGATTTCATTTTGACAATGTTTCTAAAAGATACATTCACCATAACCACGCCTGACACTGTACGACAAATATTAGCTTTTGTCAGTGTTGGACCCAATATGGCCAACTTCCTGTAAGTATAGGGGGGGCCATGATACCATTTTTTGTATGTTCAGACATGTTCTATTTTTCATGCATAATGTTTCAACTTTCTGTGTATATTTTTTTCATGCAGGGCTCCCATCTGGCCCATGGAAACTGAGTATTTTCATACCAGTCACTGGTTTATGTTCAGTCTCGCTTACTATTAGATTTATTTATTATTATTATTTTAGGGTTTTATAATCATTTTAATCCGTCCCTCATCCTGACAATTCTCCACTGACTCGAGCCTTATAAATGCAGTAGTCTTATATAGAGCTTTTCCAGAAGCTGCTTTACAATTTCATAGATTGTTCTGTGGTGGTAAACTACTATTGTAGCCACAGCTGCCCTGGGACAGACTGACAGAAGTGAGGCCACCACTACCACTCAGACACACACATTCATACGTGGCATTGTGGGTGCGTGTTGCAATACAAGTTTGTGCCAATGCTGCCCCAGTGTGACACCTGATATTCTAGTGGTCTCCCATCCAAGTGATAACCAGACCCTGCCCTGCTTAACTTTCTGGAAAAAATGTGGTCCGGGTTTCTTTGATGGAGGTTTGGCTAAAACATTACAAATATTCCACACAAGTGCCAACAGCAACAAGCTCCATGCTTGACTGGAAAAACACAGACAAGGGAAAATCAAACAAAACATGTCGTTTTCACATTGTCACTTAGGTCGGTGTATAAGAGCATTCTGTCTGAGAACTTAAACAGGAGGTCTTGGAGTGACTCCACTTTCACTCTGCAGTGAAGCAAGTGCGGTGTGGAAGCACCTGACCAGTAAAAGTGCTTAGAATTGGATGAAAAAATGCTTGGATCACGCATATTTGTATGAATGGACACTGTAGACCTGCAGTTTAACATGTTTGTCTGATCACGCAATTTAGATCAACTTTAGGGAGTCGTGCCTCCTCCTGCCTCTGTCTGCACAGGTGAACTAAGTTTTGGTCTGTCTGTGTGTCGTTCAAAAAGGATTTTCTCTGCTGTCACCATCACGTACAGTCCTCATGGCATATTCAGCCACAGATGAAAGAAAAGACCATTGTGTATTACTGGATTTCAGATGACATCACCACATTCTATAGGCAGTAATATTTAAGACAGATATGAGCAGCTAAAATGAATATTGTTAAAATTCAGATTTTTGTTGAAATATAGCAAGTTCTTGGATCTAGTCACTAATAGAAATGACCAGGTTCAACATTTGTGCATTTACCTTTTGGATATTTTGTGGCAAAGTACAATGTTTTGAATAGGAAGAAACAGCTCTTCCCCCCATCTGAGTGTTTGACGTCATCACATTCTGTACTCTGAAAACTCCAATAGCACTAAGCACATGCATTCCCTGGGGCTGCTTGCTTTCCCTGGAAAATATGTCCAGTGATCAGCTGATGACCTCTCACATGGCTAAATGTGTGCATTTGAGGTGTATGATGTGTGGTGTATGTGAACAAGACCGAACCAAAAGTAAACAGAACTGAATCTAGTGTGCTCTGGTCTGTCCAGAGAGCTCAGTAACATTCTTTCACTTTCACTTCTTTTAATTTAGCCTCATTTCATTTCCATGGTCACATCAGCCAAACAAGCTGTAGAACAAGCTAGAGACCAAGTGATTTCACAGACACTGAACAGGAATCAGTGTTTGGTAGAATAGTGTTTTATTGTGCTGAAATCCATGCATCTTTGACATACTAAGTAAAGTAATGTACAATTTTAAGAGGGTAAATGAAAGTAAATTAATAGTTTTTGGACAAAAGGTGAATCTGATATGGAAACATCATCAGATATATTCAATCTCCGCTGTCTTCTGCAGGATGGGATTTGAGGTGAGTGCCAAGCATCCAGGAAGCGAGACAAGGTACTTGCATGCATTCTTACTGTAAGTGAGTTCACCACAGTAGGAGTAAGACACAAGATTGGGTCAACGAGACAAGATGAGAGTTTAACATTTGACATATTATAATAAATAGATTGTGCCATTCAGTTAACAATTTTGGCCTAGCATTTTCTTGATTAATTTGATTTAATGTCTTTGCTGTTATGGTAGCATTGCCTCCCTGACAGACTGACAAAACATGTGATGGTTCCAGCCCAACTTTGGGCTTGAGACTGAAATGTCTTATTCTAAACTCACTTAAACTGTTTTTTTTTTTTTTTAATCTCTGTTCATTTGGAGTTCAAGCCAGGTATGGAAACTGACAGTCTTGGTTTAAAGGGAAGGTGATGTGTTTTGTATTTGGTTTGGACTGAACTGGTCTAAATGTGAACCAGATTTTGACCGGTTTATGTGGGGTTATGGTCTAAGTGTGACGACTCATCAGTGATGGATTAACACAATAAAAGAATGAGTCCATTTTATATTTTACACTAAATAAAATTTTATGATTAACATACGCAGGATATATGAACAGAGTATATGCACAGAATATACAGAATTACACAAAATAAGTTTACAACTAGAATACTCAACATTGTTACTGAATAGCCCTTCCTATTTTTGAGAAGAACCCCAGCAGAGAGAAGCGAGTGTCCAGCACAAACACATCTGTGAGTCCCAAAGACATAAAGCTTTGAAGCTCATGATGGATGTCAAAGGCGGAGTGATTGATCAGCTGCTGCAGCCTCAGTTGGTCTGTGGACCGGAGTGGTCTCACAGACCTCAAGGCAAGAACCAAAGATGGGAGGTAGTCACTGATGGGAGCCAGGAAAACTGCCAGGCGTTTCTCTACTTTCACATGACCCCCAATGGCTCTGGCCTTGGTAAGTTTTCCAATGGCTTCTATAATGTTAACAGTCAGAAGTAGAAAGACTTTGAATCGAGTGTTCTGATGATGGTCAAACCTGGTGAGTGCAGCGAAGGGCACAGCCCCCAGGTGTGCTTTGGAATATCTGTAGACAAGATCCTGTTGGAGACAGTACAGCTCCACAGACTTCAGGGCCTCCTGGAGGTCTTTTAGAGCCTGGTCTATGCAGTCTGGGGTCTGGTTGTTGTCATGCTGGGCCAATCGTGCAAAGGCTCGGTTGTAAAATGCGATGGCTGCCCAGCAGTGGTCCAGCTCTATGGCCCTGGAGTACATGAGGATACTGTCCTCATAGTTTGCTTTTATGAGCAGCTTGTTTCCAAGCAGAGTGTAGTGGTGCAGGTTTGACAGAGGAGAATGCCCCTCTCTGAGACTCTTTCTAGCCCTTTTCAGATATGAGGACAGTTTATTCTTTTGAACATCACTGGGCTCTTTGTCATTATCGTTCATGAGGAGCCACATGCCCCAGAACTCATGCAGTGCACTGACATCAGACTCTGCAGGCTGGTTACTGTTGCTTTGGTAGAAATCATTGATAAATTTGAGATACTGAATGAACAGCTCCTGCTTCATCTTCATCTTTGGAATTACATTCTCCAAATAATTTTTTAACTCCTCAGCTGCACTTTCATCTCTAACTTTTTTAGCCAACTCTACTACAGTATTGGGCATCCTGGTCAGGATTTTAGACAGTGTTTGGGACAAACCATTGTTATCTTGACCACTGCATCGTATCCTCAGTTGCATCTCAAACTGGTCTCTATACAGTGGTACTAGAGTGAACAGGTCCCTCAGTAGTGTCAGCAGCAGACCACGGCCTAGCACCAACAGCTGGAGTGTTTCCGGGAGATGTTTCGGAGCAGATGATGAGCTGTGCAGAGCCTGGATTCCCTTGTCTCCCTGTGCGTCCAAAGGCCTGAGCCTCGACTCGGGCGTTCAAGGGCAGAAATGTCTGCAACACAAACAAACCTCCGGCCGAATTCA